GGTCCCTGTGCTTTGCTAAGCTTGTTGTAAGTAGGTGCTTTAGACCACTGAGCCATCTCACCAGCTCCTAAAAATTTAAATAATTAAAAATCCCTTAGGGTGAGAAGGAATCATTGGACATATTCAAGCTGGTGAATGGAGGAGTGGTCAACCTTTATTATAAAGAACCCCCACTGATCTCCATAGTTTTATGGGAGACACCCTCAATAATTTGGTAATAGTAAAAATGTAAAGTTTTTTGTTTTTGGAACCAAGGATTGAATTTAGGCCCTTGCACTTGCCAGGGAAGCGCTTATTCCACTGAGCCAGCTCCCTGGCCCTGTAAAAAATGTAAAGTTTTGTACAAAAAATACCATAAGGTTTTCCCACAAAAGATGCTCTTGGTACAAAACTAAATTAAGAAACAAAGGTTTTCACATGTGCCAATTCATTGTTGTTAATCTCATGGTGCATTAAATGTACTCATGACTCCAGCTGAACAGGTCTTCCAAAATATAACACAAGGATTGCTAGAGTGATAAGACTTTTCTTTCGAATTCAGTCCTCTGCCTTTAACAAAATCTTATGTGATGTACATCCCATTAAAGGTCAACTAGGTAAAAGTTTCTTATGTATTAGAGATGATTTATTTTTGAGATCTGAAAGAGATTTCTTTTTTTATTGGTAGCCATACAATTGACTATACCTGCAATCTCTGTGTTTTCCTGCTAGTTAAGAAAAAATGTAGAACTAGACATTTAAAACATTATCAATGTAATAATCAGCATGGAATCACCGATCTTCTAAAAGTTTGTAAAACATTGCCAGTCATGGTAAACACAATTATCACAGCTACATCATTTGAAAAAAAAATATAAATTATGCTGCTAAAGACAAAAACACTGAACTACATAAACATCACAATATAATACAGCAGCAACTCATAAGTACTATGAAAAATTAATTTTTTTTTTTGCTTTAAACAATTTATTTAACTGAAATGGACTTAAGTTTGTTTCTGAAGTGACTTCCATTTATTTTGATACATCTTTTCCCCATGATGATTTATAGGATCTTCAAGCCAATATAAATACTTTATAAATATTTGAATTTTTGGGTATACACCTGCGCAATACCTCAGCAGTATCTTTCAGCAAGAAAATACTGAAGAGT